TGGGCTCGGTTTTGTTTTAGAATCTATTTTATAAACTTTGCCATCTGATTTTAACAACAAATACACACACCAAAACGTAAAGCCACAAATTTTATAAAGTTGTTTCATGTATCTGATCGTGAGAACAACAGCCACTCCTGTTGTCCTAATCTGACAAATCAGGCTGCTTGCACAGCACCGTGGGGCATGCTCCTCATACAGCCCAGCAGTAAGAAACCTTGAAGGAGGAACAATTGGTGCATTTATTATTCAAAAATGGTTTTTCCTTTTTTTTTTTTTTTGGTGATACTTTTACACAGATAAGAGTTTAAAACAACTTTGGACCTGAGGATGGAGATTTTCCCCGAGATGCTCCCCCACCCCCAAAGAAGAGCTATCAAACAGAGGAAGGGGGGGGGGGGCTTGCCATTCTCTAATTCAAGACTGGAAATGCTAGAGACATGAGCACACATCTGTAGGCTGGGACTGCCTTCTCCAAACTGGCATCTGTCCCCGACACTCGAAGGTGGTGAGAATGGGCTGCACCTGAATGCTTTTCTGAACCACAGAACTCTTCCATAGTTCATGAAGCCGTGTGTGTGTGTGTGTGTGTGTGTGTGTGTGTGTGTGTGTGTGAGGGAGAGGGAGAGAGAGAGAGAGAGAACACTATTCGGTTTTAGAAAAATTTAGCCTATTAAATATTTTGATCCATGGTAATACCACAGCACCACTGCCAACTGTACAAAGCTAGCCGGCCTGACAAGAAACAATCTGTCCCCAGGCCACTCTAGTGGGGGCATTTTTCAGTTGATGTTCTCTCTTCCAAAATGACTAGCTTGTGTCGAGTTGACATAAAACTAGCCAGCGCATCTTTAAAAAAAAAAGTTATGATGGAGGCTGAAGTATAAAATAGTGATAGAATGCTTGCCTAGCATATTGGGGTCTTAGCCCAATCCTGAGCACTGCACATATAAATAAATAAGAGGTATGTGTATGATGATAAATCCTATAACATCAATATCAAATTAAAAATAATCACTAGCTGGGTATAGTAGCAATTGGAAGGCTGGTGGGAGAATCAAGGCTATCATGACTACACAGTAGGACCCTACTTCAAAAGAGCCAAAATAACTATTATTTTTGTGACAAACTGGGCTCCGCCCTTTTAACAAGACTATTTTGGTTATTATAACCTTATGTAATAGAAACCACTAGTCTGAAGGTCAGCAGATGGTCAACACTAAGGTGACAGGATCCCAAAGCCCAGACACCCAAATCCAGGGCCCACCTGACACCCTGTAACAGCTCACAGGTATTAACACGGCCTAGGGGAGCTTGGGTGCAGCCTAGCTCTGCATAGCTCCATCCTTTTCTGGTTTTGACAAGGGTTTTTCTGTGTATCTCTAGCTGTCCTAGAACTCTCTTCTCTCTATAGACCAGAGTGGCCTGAAAGATCCGCCTGCCTCTGCCTCCCCAGTGCTGGGATTAAGGGGTGCACCACACCTCGTATATCTCCACCCTTATCTCAGGGGCACCAGACAATTATCCTCCTGCCCCTTCCCACACACCGAAGTGGGACAAGAGGGGACTGGGTAAATGCTCTTAAGCCAGGCAGTGGTCTTAGGCCAGCCTGGTCTACAAAGTGAGTTCCAGGACAGCCAGGGCTACACGAAGAAACCCTGTTGTGGGGAGGAGGATACTTGCTGCACTTGCAGAGGACCAGGGTTCAATTCCCAGAACCCACATCGTGGTTTAAACAACCATCTGTAATTCTAGTTCCAGGTATCTGACACCTTTTGACCCCACACACAGGTAAATCATTCATACACATAGAGTAAAATAAATAAATCTTTAAAATGTTTTGAAATTTGTATTTTTAAAAGGTAGGACAAGCCTACAGCAACTGTCTAAATACAAGCAAAAACATGACGCGTTCAGTCTCGGGGCTGACCTGAAAGCTTGTTACGCTCAAACACACAATCCTCTTTATCACTCCAGAACTGAAGTGGGTTTGGTATCAGCTCCAATATTCTCCACAAGCTTCTTCCAATTCTAGCAGACATTGGCAGGGACAGCGGACACGGAATACTGAGCATACAAGTGTCCAGCCCCACCACATCTTTAGCTCACTGTTTGTGTTAAATGTCACAGAATGTCATATAACTAAAGGCAGGCAAGTGTTAAATGCCTATGAAAAGGAAGTGAAAAGTGCATACACAAAACTTCTAAAAATGTTACGTTCAGAAGAATCCAGTTGTTGGGAGCACAGGCTGAGTGCACCAGATGTGCTCAACACTGAAGCCCTTTCTCAGGGACACTCTCACTGCCCCTCAGGAAGCCCCGAAGTGTCAGCTACCCACCAGGACCCTCCAGCTGGCAGAGCCTAAAAGGGCAGCTGCTGAGCCTGCTGCACGGTTTCTGGCCTAAAGAAAGGCTTTTTCTCTAAAACCATCCTCATACAAGGGATGGTTCACACAGCCCAGACACCATCTGGTTATTCTATTTCGAGCAGTGTGTCTTCTGGGAGCTAATCCGTAAGATGCCCCTGGCCAGTTCCAATACTGCTGAGGGACGGAGCACTGAGGATCCCCAAGTCAAGGCCAGGGCCGCAGAGCTCCGGGGGCCCCACCCTTGCAGGGACAGAAGGCTGGTTGTGTCCCTCGAGGAATGGAGTGGTAATTCTCACCAGCAGCCTCACAGAGACATCCTGGCTAAGGGCCACTCTGCCCAGCGTGCTGCAATCCCATCAAGCTGCCTCTCATGTTCTGGGGAGGCTACTTCAGAATCACAGTGGGGGGTGGGGGGAGAGCCAATCAGCAGGCAGGCAGACTTCTCACTTCCTTCCGTCCCTTAACACTTGCCCTGAACTCAACTGACCTCATCAGCTGGTGGTGGGAAAGGCCAGGCATCAACAGCCATCTGGTCCTTTGCTCTGGTAACGTAAATAAGTCACACCAATCACTCTGTCTTCCTAAGGTCTACGGTGTCCATCTCAAGAAGAAAACACCATGGGCCCCAGACATTACATCACTCTTTGGGGGCCGGGGTGTTCCCCCACACAACCCAGAGGCTCTAATTTACAGGTGTGAGAACATCAAAACGCCTATAATTTGCCCTGGCCACAACTGAGAACAGAGTTCAAAACTATTGATTCTAAGAGAAGCAAACCAACCTTGTGGCAACAGCAGAAAGATGTCAACTGTTTCCCTGGAGTAGCTGAACATCATCTCGTCTTGGAGCAGGTGATCCAAAATCATGGCCTGCTAAGCAGGCAAACTAACTGTGCCCCAGTGCGCACACATGATCTCAATGAGAAGTTGGAACTGTCACTAAAGAATGAGGGTCTCAAATACCCCAAAGAGGCCGCAGATCATTCCAACAACCCAAGAAGTCCCGGAGCCCAAGGATCAGTTGTGACTTGGTTTTTAAATCCCCAGGAACTGGCAGGGCTCTGACACAACGGAAGTCCTCCTTCCCTTTAAACCTAGCATACACCACTCCTTTTTAATGTCAGCCTTGATTTAGATTATTCTCCTCCTAAATTCCAGCCGAACAGATACAAAACATTTAAAACACTTCACAGAGATGGCTGGCTGTGTGTTTTAAATCTCAAGACCTGAGCATTATCTGGGCACTGACATTCCCCGCCCTTCCTTGCAGTCTGTCATTATGCTAATGCTAGTCACTTAAATATGCAGGTATTAATCGAAAAGTTCCTGGAATCTGCTCTAAATAATTAAGCACACCTTCTTTTTGTTCCTCCTTCCTGTTGAATAGTGAAGACTTGATATCTGGAGCTTAAGCAGTCACCCTGCAGCAACTAAAGACGGACACAGCTAAATTAAGTCTGAGAGCAAAACAACCACAAATCGGCTAAGAGTAATGGTGCATGCTATGTGAGAATATGTCCAGGCTGACATGTGTTTGTGAATATGACATCAGAAGATGAGAACTCTGGGAAACAGTCTACTTTCATTTTCTACTGCTGTGATAAAATACCCTCAGAAAGATAGATAGATGATAGATTGGATAGATAGATAGATACATAGATACATAGCTAGAAAGATAGATGATTAGATAGATACATAGATACATAAATACACAAATAGATAGATACATAGATAGCTAGAAAGATAGATGATAGGTAGGTAGATAGATAGATAGACAGACAGACAGACAGATCGACCTGAGGGATAACATCACATCATGAACACTCTCACAGAACATACTGAGCATCAGGAAGGGTGCTGAAGATTTCACACACAGTCACTCCTTCATAGCCCAATGGGATCAGTTCCAGGAACTCCTTTAGACACCCAACCCCTGCAGATGTTCAAATCCCCTATGTAAGATGACAGTATCTGCATATAGCCTCCTGTGGACTTTAAAAATTAGGAATCTAATCTACATGGGAAGTAGAAAAAGACAAGATCTCCTGAGTAAAGAGGGGGAGCATGGGGACCATGGGAGAGGGTTGAAGGAGAGGGAAGGGGAAGGGAGGAGAGCAGAGAAAAATGTAGAGCAATAAAAAAAAATGAACTCTCTAGATCGCTTATCACACCTAATGCAATATAGAAGTTACACAAGCAGTTGTCATGCTGAGGTTTGGATGTGATTTAAAATTCTCTCTCTCTCTCTCTCTCTTTCTCTCTCTCTCCTCCCCCCCCTTCTCTCCCTTCTTCCCTCCCTCCCTCCCCTCCCTCCCTATCTAAGTTTGGATGTCCCATTAGACACAGAATATGCTGCCTAGTTTTATGTCAATTTGACACAAGCTAAAGTTATCCTGACAAGTGGAACCTTAATTAAGAAAATGCCTCCATAAAACTCAAGACTGTAGGCAAATCTGTATATCATTTTCCTAATGTGGCTGGTGATATCCCTGGACTGTGGTCCTGGTTCTATAAGCAGGCTGAGTAAGCTATGAGGAGCAAGCCAGTAAGCACTGTCCCTCCCATGGCCTCTGCATCAGCTCCTGCCTCCAGGTCCCTGGCCTGCTTGAGTTCCTGCCCTGACTTTCTTTGATGATGAACAGCGACATAGAAGTTTAAGCCAAATAATAAGTTGCTTTTGGTCACAAAAGCGAGGTGTATCACAGAAACCCGAAGATACAGAACCTGTGACTACAGCCACTTAATGACATGGCTGTCATTATCCTCTCTTACCCAACAGGAAACGAAGTCACAGAGAGGAAGATTAAAAGCAGCTGGGCCCGCCTGCAAGCTCAGACAGGCTGCAAAGAGGTCCGGCGCTTGTAATCATTGCACGCGCTGCAGGGCCTACTACTCTTCAGAGCGGATGGAAAGCTCTCTCTTCCCAAGAGCCCCAGGACTCTTCAAACACAGCATAATATCAATGTTTTTAAATGGAACACAGAAGGAAAGCATCGTCAGGAAGACTCTGTAACCTGTCCTGCAGGTTCTCACACACTTGCTGGGCCCCTTGCGAAGTTCACTGCTCTGATATGAAGGAGAAGGTAAGCCACTTCCGTCCACAATTATTTTTGGTTAAAGGGGTATCTGAGTACATGTTTAGGGGGCACAAACCGCCACTGTAGAAAGCAGGGGAGTCCCTGGTGTGTTCTAAAAGGAAACGAGTGGTGTGGCAAAGCTCATCGCACGCCAACTGCTACTCGAGCTGGCATCGTGCTGCGAACTGACAGAGCCCATTCAAATGGAGGGCCACACCAAAGATGGCAGTGTTCCCACTCTCTGACCGAGCAGCAAGCTAACAGCCATGAGCACGTGTGTAAGAGAGGTGCAAACACGATGTACGACTGCTGCCACGAGAGAGATGGCAGACACGGAGAAGGGAAACACAAGCGGCAAACTTAGCAATCAAGGCTCTACATCATCAATATAAACAGAGAGGTAGGAGCGGGAAGACACTCCCACATAAAACCAGATCTAGGGTCATCCAGTCTGGTTACCAGCTGTGCAAAGGCAAAATCTCAGGCAGCAACCTGTGTGGGATTCAGGTGGTCACATTACCCTCGCAAACAGCCATTCTGCACAAAGGAATGCATTACTGTGGCCTCCTCTTCCTCACCTTAGACCTGAATATGAAATCTGGCCTCGCACACATACTGAAGGGACCTGAGCTTGCTGTTAACCTTGGTCAATCTACTGGATGAGGTTCTGAGAGCACCTGGGGGGGGGGGGGGAGAGTGTCACGAGTCACACTGGAGGGTCAATAGCTTCTGACTCTGAAGACACAAGTGGGCTGGTCAAGTTCCTTCACCTCTTGCCTTGCCTGGGGTTAATAGACAAAAACAGGGTGGTGAAACTCAAAACACAAGGCCCCTTGCCACAGGAGGATACAAAACCCACCCACTTCTATAACCTGGCTTCCTAAACTCAGGAAAGACGAAAAGACGCCTGCTGCGGGAGCTGGTGTGCTGAGGAAAAGCCTCTCCTGCTTATGCAGCAATGCACGATGTGCAGGGGCAACAGGGGGTAAATGGGCAACCACGACCAAAGTACACAACAAAGCCCGTCTCTTAGGAAAAAGGGACGAGGAACGGAAGAGGCAGGACCTGCTGCAGAATCTCTGAGTGACGGACCACACGGACAAACCATTCATGCAGACACATCACGATGGTGCTCAGCTGAACGAAGCGTTTCCAGACCGCTCTTCCACTCCACAGAGACCCACCCATGTCACATTCATTTTCAATTTCCTCTTCCGTTCTCATCCAGCATGGTGTCTGGTGTGCAAGTGCAGGATGGTGGGGCGGAAACAGCATGTGCCAAGCACCTCCACCCTCCCTCCCTCCTCTCCCTTCCTACCATCTTTTGAGAACTTAGCTTATTATTCAGTCTTTACTACTCTGAGAGAATTCAAATCCTTTACCGGCAGGTGGTTCTCTAGGATGCTTCCTTACCAATTTTGTTGGCTTCGTTGTTCACCACCTTCTCCAGGGTCCCCAAACTCCTCTGGAACCTCACACTATACATAAAAACTAACTCATCTTACAAAACATGGAGACAGTCTAAAGACTGGAAATCGCTAGAAGTTAGTCCCCATGTTGACTTCGTGACTATCAAGGCAGGCGAGCTCCCCTGCTACTGAAACAGTGAGCATCTCCAGCCCACAGAAGGCACAGAACCCGAGTGAACCCCAGTGTGAACCGCAGGCTTTAGTGAACCCCAGTGTGAACCGCAGGCTTTAGTGAACCCCAGTGTGAACCGCAGGCTTTAGTGAACCCCAGTGTGAACCGCAGGCTTTAGTGACTGCTGTACACTGTAGGCTGACAAAGCGGTGAACGCGCCACTCAGGTGGAGGCCGTGCCTACGGGAGAATATAAGGGAAATTCCTATACTTACTGCTCAATTGTTCTGTGAAACTAAAATTGTTCTTTTCAAAAGTCTACTTTAGCAAAAGAAACTAATCACGTAATTACTGTATGGTCCCACAATTGTACTCAAGAGAAGTATGTATACAAATGTCCATAGAAGGCTTTATTGTTGGAACAGAAGAAAACCCCTCTTGGTCTTAGGTGAAAACCTCATTGTGTTTGGGCTTTTTCAATCACTTTGGCTCACCCCTAGTAAAGTGGCCTCCCCTTAAGCAATGCAAAGGAGACAGACAGAATAATTAATCCTTGAATGAGACAGTACACTCACAGGTTAACAGTGTTAGAGACAGGCAGAAGTTCATGGGCCAGCCAGTCTCTTGAGTTCATTGAGAGGCCCTGTCTTGAAAAACGGGTGGAGCAGAATCAAGGAAAGACACAGCATCAACCTACGGCCTCCCACACACGTGCACACATATACAAAAGCACACACAGATTAAAAGGTAAAAGTAAAGAAACTGTTTATATTAATGTGTTTAAAATTAACCTTAACATTTTAAAAAAAAAAACTTCCTCACCCACAGATTTTCTTTTACTTTCTTAATCTTTTCTCCATTTCACACTCTTTTTATTACCTGGTGGTTCCTTCATCCTGTTTGCCTCCCTAAAATGCCAAACAGGTCACAGGAAGACCGCAAGAGGGCACCAATCCAGTAGCTCCTGACCCCAAAAACAGGAGAGCAGAGGGCAGATGAGACCTGAGTGGGTGGTAAGGAGCCAGACAGACCTGCAGCTGTGTGCCCCATGGAATCCATTAGGGCAGAGAACCAGGCTCTGCTTCCAGCCTGCTGGCTCACAGCTGCACCCGAGAAAGGCCTTGGCTTTGGGCCGCACTAAAGGAGCAAAAACCCACAACAGATGGCAAAGACAAGGACAAAGATCCTCTGCACAGTTCCTGTCTTCTTTAAATACATGAACTATTTTCCACCTCAAATCAAGTGTTCTGCTGAGTGAGATCTTGTTTCCCCCCAACCACAGGAAATTGCTAATGCACACACACACACAAGCATGTGCACGGTAAGTGTATGCAGACACACAAACATTCAACCCCTCACACGTAGTACACAACTCCTCAAACACCCAAAACTACATGCCTTAGTAAGATCGGTGAGGAGTTTCTGCCCCTCCCCCAAAGGCTTTGATGAAATAATGCCACATATATAACTAGTGATGCAAAATTAAGAAATGACAGTGTGTGCTTCTCATCTATCCTGGACAACCTCCTCCTTCCCTCGAGCTCTCCTCCCTGTGTCTCAGAGGCAATGGTCCCTGCGGAGTCCCCTCATCGCAACTCCCCGATGTGTGCTGTGGGGCCACAGTATAACGAGAAGCTTAAATAAAATCTCCCTCCTACACTGCATGCCGCTCAGCATCACCTACACAGCAGCTACCTCCTTTCCAATAAGAAAATTACTCTTTACTAACTGTGCTGAAGAAACCTAGCCGGCCCTCCCCAAACACAGCTAAAACCTTGCTTACATTATACCAAACAAAACGAGCCCAGAAGAGCTGAACTACACAATATTCGGGAAACATAGGAGGCAAAAACATCTAACACAGGGTTTGGGATGCTTTGTGATATGATACCAAAGCACAGAGAACCAAAACTCAGGAAGGCTGAATGGATTTCATGAAAACCAAAGAGTACTTACTACTCTCCAGAGTAAAAAGGAACCTGTGAGGTGGGAGAAAGTGTTTGTAGCCACATATTGCCTGGGGAATGATGTCCTAAATACACAGAGACCTTCTACTACAGCAACCAAAAACCTGATTATAAAACGGGCAAAGTTATGACCCAAAGATATGCAAATAGACAAAAACACAAAGGAAGCTGCTCAACACTGATACCCACTGTAAATGCAAATCAAAACCACAAGGAAATAGCCTTCTACACACACATTAGAATACTTTCAAGGAAAGAGTGTTAGAGAGACAGGGAAATTAGAAGTTTTGTAGACACAAATGGTATAGAATGGAGCAGCCATGGTGGTCAATGGTATGATAATGCCTAAAAATACTGTTCATAAAATCACCACATGATGTAGTAATTCCGCATCTGAATAGAATTTGATTGGAAGCCTCATCCCAGCCCTCTGGCATCCATAAATACAAGGAGTCTGGAATGTTTGGTTGGGGGTAAAAGCCCCCTCCCCTGGGAGTTGCCTCAGTCAGAACTCCACCTCTGAGAAAGTCCACCAAACACTGACATCCCCAGGGATATCAAGACCACTCCCATAGACTATTTACATTTAAACTGCCCCCCAGAGAATGAACACATGATCTCCCCTTTTTCCTCTGTTTTTTTTTTTTGGGGGGGGGGCCCCCCGGAGCACTAGCATCCATTAAATCTGGACTCTTTAATTCGGTCTGATTTGGTTTGATTTTGAATTACTGTGTTGGCAGAGAGGTTTACCAGGCCAGAAAAAAAACCTTAACATTTGGAGGTCCCACTGAGATGGGCTGTTTTTCCCACTGACCCAGGGGTATGTGTTGGAAAATGCCCTTCTTGCCCAAGCTCTCCACCAGGCTAAGATTGGCTTCATCTAGGTGAGTTCCCCTTTCTCAATACATGCACCAGCGTGAGGGCGGTCCTGCTTGTATCCAACACAAGGGACTAGAATGCGGGTTCATTTCTGCTTGCCTTTTGATCTTTCTCGTCCTTTGTGCCAGGAGCCATCCGTCTACGTTTGTCGTTTGTCTACTGAAGCCACGGGCGTGCCAGGCTTCCATCCTCACCTGTGGCGAGGCATCCTCGCTGAGGTGGGACTGCTTGGGACGGAGATATTTGCCCACACATTTCTCACACCCCTGTTTTTGACTCAAGAGTCTTATCACGGTGCACGGTGGGTGCAATTCAAAGCCAAATCTTCAAACACCCTTGGACTGCCTTTTAACAAAAATCCTTTTAAATTGGGGCTAACCCCTAACATAAAACAAACAAGGCCCCATGTGCCCATGGTTTCTGGATGCTGTGCTCCCGCTGCCCCTCCCCAGCCCCTCTTCTCTCACTGTTCTCTACAAGGGATCGGTTTCCAGTCCTTCCACTCTAACACTGCATAGATGTTCCAACGTTTGTTTCTGTTCTCTTGCAGCATCTGCTAATCTGATCCTTAATGGGATCACCTGTGTGCTTCCCTGGCTTCTGCCGCCTGCCTACGCCGGGATTATAAATGGTCAACTGACAAGGTTTCAAAAAAAAAGTTTTATTTGTCTGTTAAAATAATGTGGCCACACTATGCTTTTATGTCTACATGTGTACATGTATGTTTCCATACTATACTTGTCTTATTTCTGTGTATGCGTGCGTGTTTTAAGATCTGTAACTTGAAACTCCAGGTTACAACAGCTCTAAAAAGATACAAACACATGGGTAGCCACCATTTTGACCTCACCTCCATCTTTAGTAAGAGTACCCATGTGTGCTGGACCTACCAAGGAGTCATTCTGCCTCAAATTCTTTAACTTACTAAAATAGTCCTTTTAATCTTCTTACATTTACTAGCATTGGTTAAGCTGTAACTAACTGAGTAAAATACATGTCTAAATTTAACTTATGTCTAATTTAAATATAACTAACAGGTAATGGTACCCAATTCTCAAGTGCCTTTACAGATCTGAGAGTGTGGCATTTAACAAATGAACTTCTAACAAAGAGACATGCCAGCTCCTGCAGCATCCTATAGCTCCTCCAAGAAGATACATGAATGCAAAAGACCTTCTGCCTAGAGGCTTGCCTTTGAGTATGGCAAAGCCACCCACACAGCAAAAAGCAGAGTTCCACCTCATCAGCTTCCTGGACGCTACACCAAGGACTGATCATTTCATCCTGCCAATACAAGTAGACTAAATCTTCCCCCCACAGGAAAATCTTCAGGCCTCTTGGACTCAGCAGCTAATGGCAAGTACTGCTTCTTAGACTGGTGTTCTCTAAAGACTAAGGAGAGACTTGGGATTGCCTGTGTAGCTTAAAAAAAAAAAAGCTGTCTCATTTGTGCTCATTTGTCCTTCTTAGATGTGTCTAATGGCATTCGATGACTTAGGGTACTGGGAGCTCATTACTTTATTTTTTAAGTTTCCTTCTAAAAATACAGACAGGTGTGCCTCTTTCAGAGGTTTCATAGTCCAGTATTAACAAGTTTCAGGTGTCTCTTCAGAGATACAGAGTTCCCAATTCCCTTTAATTGTTTTCTAAAATGTTCCTGCTCCAGTTGTCTTACAAATACCTGTGGGTTCCTAAAAATAAGTTCTGCTGCTTTATCAAATCAGGTCTGGTTTAAAAATAAATAAATAAAAACAGTCTCCAGAGCCTATTTTAACCCCACCCATTTTCACGCATATTACAAAGGGCCCTCCAGACAGCACCAGCACCTGCACCAGCTCCTGGGACTTCACCATCGGTACCAACTCTCCTGGCTCAAAAGGACACCTACCAACTAAAATTTGGTTTTAAAACAGTGTATCTGCTCTCATGTCTCACTTATTCACCAATGCCTCTCCTGTACCACCAGGGCACTTCTCTGTGTAGCTAATGACCCTTCCCATGGCTAGTCCCATTCACAGGGCCAATAATATTTTTTTTCCTCCTAGCCACCTGCCTTCTCATCTCTCTCAGGAACAGCTAGCTAGCTGCCTGAGGTCTCCAAGATGGCAATAAACTGGATGCCTCTCCGGCCACACCTCTCCCAACTCTCCCCTTCCCCCATGCCCGCAGGAAGTAGCCAGACTTGGGCCAGAGCCCCTTTATTCAGAGTCTGGAATGTTTGGTTGGGATCTTCACCCCAGCCCCCTGACATCCATTCTGAAATGTTGGGTGGAAAGCTCCATGTCAAAGCCTCCTCCCCTGGGAGCTGCCTCAGTCCAAACTCCACCTCCCAGAAAGCCCACCAAATGGTAACCCCCTCACCAGGGAGGGTCAAGATCACTCCCCCCGGGCTACTTAAGCCACCCCCCAGAGAACAAACATGTGGTCACTCGGGTCCTCCTCCCCCTCTCCTTGTTTTCCTGGGGGGCCACCCAGGAGTGCTGGCATTTCCTAATTCATTCTGATTTGGCTTTATTTGGATTACTACGCCTGCAGAGAGGCTTACTCAGCAGAAGGAAAAAACTTAACAGATATGTACCCCCAAAAAACTAAGGAAGAGATTGAACAGGTAGACTCCTGTTCACAGTAGCACTTCACACAACAGCCAAGATGTAATGCATCTGACCACAGATAAACAGGTAAACAAAGTTTGGCTGTACATACAATGGAATGCAGCCTTCAATGATAACTTGTGCTAAGCAAAATAAGGCAATCAAAAGAGACAGATACTAACTAGTCCTCATTATTTCCATCTCTTCTCTATTATTATTTTATTATTGTTGTTGTTGTTGTTTCCAAGACAAAGGATTTCTTTAGGTAGCCCTGGCTGTTCTGGAACTAGCTCTGTAGACCAGGCTAGCCTTGAACTCACAGAGACCCGCCTGCCTCTGCCTCCTGAGTGCTGGGATTACAGGTGTGGCTACCACCAATCAACCAACATTTCATCCTTTTCATCAGCATCACCCAAGATCCTCGAAGCCTCCCGAGGTGGAAGAGGACCAGGATCTGGGGAGAAAAATACAAGGATTGACAAAAATCAATGACTGAAGGCAAGAGGAAGACAGCCCTGGAAAACAGCCAGGCAGCTGCAACAGACAGGCATTGTGCAACATTTGGAGTGCATGAGGAGGACCATATTCTAGGAAATTCTCTGAGGGATGTGACCATGAAAAAAACCAGAAGTGGAATTTTGTGGTTACACTAAGACCCATCCTTCAGAGATCACATTTGATTTGCTCATTCAGATGCAGGGCATTCTTCCAACTGCTGAGGTCTTTCAGAGAAGCCTGGTTCAGAGAGAGGCCACGACTCTCCGCCAGCCATGTGCTGGACAAGTTTGAGGCTGGCACAAAGGACAAGAAAGATCAAAAGGCAAGCAGAAACGAACCCACATTCTAGTTCCTTATGTCGGATACAAGCAGGACCACCCTCACGATGGTGCAGAACCCAGATCTTGAATGAGTGATAACAGCATGCTTTGTCCTGGGAAAAGATGTGGATCTAGTTGTGGACCCACAACTGCTGGAATCCTGCAGGAATATACGCCTAGTACATCTCCTCTTCTGTTTATGAGAGAATGAAAGATACTGTAAGAGTCTGCAGTAGTCAAATTCATAGAAACAAGAGTAGAATTATTATTGCCAAGATCTGGAAGAGGGAGAACTGGGAGGAAATAGCAGGTGCAACACTTACATTGGAGAAGACGCGACGCGAGTTCTAGAGATGGATGGCTCTGACAACTGCAAACAGCGCCACAGCCTGCTCCACGTGTCTCAAAACGGCAAACTTTATTATGTGCATTTTATCACAACTTTTACACACACACACACACACACACACACACACACTTCTCCCTCTGTTTCTTACCTATCTAAATAAATCTTAGACAGGAACCCTATCTGGTTACCCTTTGTATACAATGCCAGGGGTCAAGGCCCTGAAACTACAGTTGGCTGGGGGAGCTCTCATCCTGTAACCTTTCCCTGATTTTAAAATGATTTATTCTTCAACAAATGTCTCATTTTTAAAAAGAGACAACCACAGTATGACCAATTCCCATCTTAAAGAGGGACTCTTAAGGTGTTGGCTCCTTGGTACAAACTAAAAGCCCAGCACAGGCTGGCCCCAACGTACCAGTGAGATCCCTTTACCAGAAAGGCATGAGAGACCTCTGCTCACTGCCTCCTTCTCCCCCTCCCCACTTCATTCAGGCGTACAGTCCATTTCTCCTCCCTTCTTCAACCCCGTCAGACATATATAAAAGTCTTGCCCACACGGAACAGGATGGAAAGGAGGAATGGAGTTATGTGAGAAACTCGATCTATCCTTTACATGGGGTGGGGGTGGGGGACAAGATCGCACAGCAATAAAACCATGTGTGCCCATCCTCCTGGGAAAAAAGAGGGAACACACGAAGATGCTGGGAAAGGCCGTCCTCCCAGTTTGTCGCCCTTGTGTGCACTATGCTTGCTCAGAGCTAAGCAACCCCAGCAACAGTGCACCTGGGCAACTTCCTCAGCCGCTCTCAGCAGCCAGCACCAAAGAGTCTGCCCAGCGGATAGGCTAGAATATAAACTGGTCATCTTTTTAGCCACGAAATTCCAATTCGACATGTTTGTTCTAAGGCAATAAAAACAATCAAAACTGCAGGACCAGAGAGGTGGCTCAGGGACTAAAATCACTTGCTGCTCTTGCAGAGGATTGGTGTGGTGCACAGCACCCACGTGGTATCTCACAACCAACCAACTTTAAACCCAGTCCCTGGGAATTCTGACACCCTCTTCAGGCCTTCAAAGGCACGAAGCACATACATGGCACACATATATACATGCAGACAATACTCATATACATAAAATGTGGATGTGTTTTGTGTGTGTGTGTGTGTGTGTGTGTGTCTGTCTGTCTGTCTGTCTGTCTGTCTGTCTTATAAAAATGCCCACCATTGCATGAGAGCTAGTATCACCACCTCTGGTCACCAGCATCAGAGGCCATTAAATCTTGGTGCCTGACAAACCCAACATACAGAGCTACCGAAAGTCATTCGCAAAGAATAGCTACAGCATGGAAAAACGTTCAGAATACATTATAAAACTATGCAGTTGGTCTTCTTTATCATGAGTATTATATCAACATATTCAACCAAGAACAATTTTTTTCCTAATAGGATCTAGTTGGGAATGGTGACACACAACTGCCCCAGTACTTGGGAAGTTGAGGCCGAAAGATCTTGAGTTTTCAGTCTGCACTAGAAAAAGAGAACCTGCCGCTCAATGACAGACGGGATCCACACTAAACATGCCTAGACGTCTTCTCATCGTTCCTTTCTGAACAATTAAGTATAACTGCTATTAGCATTGTTAGATATGAAAGTAATATAGAAGGGTTTAAACTACACACCCTGACTGAACTTCTTTAAAATGTATTTGGGCATTCAACATCTAAGGGAAGAGCTCCTGAAATCAACTATGGATACTGAAGGAAGACCACATATTAAAACCTCAATTTTTAAAATTTTGAAGGTAAAGGCGGGGGGGCAGAAAGAAGAAGAAACAAGTGTATATATTATCTACACAAATGAACTCATGGGAGGCTGGAGGAGATGCACATCTGGTAAAGGGTTTGCCATGACAGCATGGGAACCTAAAGTTGATCACCAGCACCCATGTTTAAATTAAAAAAAAAAAAAAGAGTATGGTGGTATGCACCTGTTACCTCAGAGCTGGGCATAGCACCTGGTTCCAATGACAGCTTACACTTACCCCACAGAAGTCCCTGAATTGAGAGAATGCCCCCTTCTTCATGCAATACTCTTCAGTCCCCCAACCTAACACACATTGTCACCAGAAAGTGAACTCACTGTATGTAGCAGTGAACACGTTTTTTCCTAACTGGGATAATGAACCTGCCTGGTCTGATTCTTCTGGTCAATGGTGTGCCAGGGCATTGCCCACCCTACACAAGCACTCCACAGTGGTCCCACCCCAGCCCTAGCATCTCCTCAAATGCCACTGTAACCCACACAGCTGATGGAACCCTGAGGCCCACCTACAGCAGCGAAGACACAAATGAGCCCTAACTGACACTGCTTGCAGATACAGCAATCCACGTTCCTCAGTTTCTTGGTTATTCTTGTCTGTACACACTCACAGCGAAGGGCCGGCACAACTTGTTTCCCAGCACACAACATAGCCTGTCACCCTCTCCAGCCTCCCCTATACCCAACCCCTCCCCTGCTTTGTTCTATGGACTCTGAGAGATGCTCCTCAAGTACTGAAATGACTTGGTTTCCCAGCCCTAAGGAGGCTAGAGTACTACAAGGACATCATAAGCGTTATTCAGCAACGCCCCTTGCACCAGCGGGCCCACGATTCCTAGGCTCCCCGCTTCCGGATGGGGCATCTGAGAGCCAGGCAGTATAAATGACGTCTCTCAAACCAATGCCTGACCGACTTTCCTGTACAGGAAAACTGCATCCTTTGTTCTCTATTTCCACACACGAATCTAATAGGCTTCTGTTCCAGATTTCAAAGGCTGCAAAGGTCAAGCAATGCTCATCAGCGTCCGTGAGAAGGAACAGTGAGGGTGTGAGTGTCCTATCACGGTCACTCGGCAATGACAAAGACCAGAAACTGAAACTAGAACCACCAGTTGCCATCTGATGGTGCCAGCACAGTTAATTAAGGAAGTCGTGGATGCTGGCCTCAGGGGCTGCTACAGTCCAGTCTCTAACTGTCCTTCAGAAAACAAGGGGTTGAGAAGACTTCCCGTCATTTCTTTGAAGGCCAAGTCTTCCCGAGTGCTGGCCCTCAAGAAGGACCAGCAAAGGCCTGGGGAGATGGTCTGGTAGTGAACAGCTTGTTGGATAATTATTAAGAACCCTGCTAAAACACCAAGCTTGGCTCTGTTATCCCACTCTGA